GGGGATGGGGGGTCCCGATGCTGCTCCCGCTGAGCCGCGCCGTCTGGTGAGCAGCAGTGGCTCTCCTTGGGGAGCTCCGGGCGTGTTCCAGCTGTGAGCCAGAGGCTAAGGAACTGGCAGCGAGCTCACACTTCACTCAGCTGGGCGGGAGCCACTGCCCACCGGCACAAAGGTGGTGGTGGTGGTGGTGGTGGTGGTGGTGGTGGTGGTGGTGGTGGTGCTCACTGGCGCCTTCGTTGAGGGGAGATCTCACTGGCCTCACTCCCACCTCCCCAGGCAGCACTTGAGCCAGAGCGCCTGGCACGGAGCCTGTCGGGTCTCAATGCCGCCTGCGCCCCCCCCCCTTCCGAACGTGAAGGCCGCCTCCTTGCTTCTGTCCCCTCTCCAGCCCTGTTCAGCGTGTCGGACAAGACTGGCCTGGTGGAGCTGGCGCGATGCCTCCGCTCGCTAGGCCTGGCCCTCGTGGCCTCCGGAGGGACGGCGAAAGCCCTTCGGGACGCAGGCCTGGACGTCAGGTAGGTAAACAAAGGCCCTCTCACCCTGGCACTCGCCTTTCAGAGTCGGAGGTGGGTATCGGTCGAGGCCCCTGGCACTGCGGGGGTCCAGCCGCTCGTGGAGTGGATGGGCGGCAAGGAGAGGGCGGCCTGCCTCTGGCACCACTGACTCAGATGGTTCATGATGGGGCTCGAGTGGGGAAAGTGAGGGGTCAGAAAGTCCTCCTGCCAACTTGCTCTGCTAAGAAACAGGCCCTCGGTCCGTGGCCTGCCCAGACTGGCAGTGGCTCTCCAGGGCCTCGGGCAGAAAGGGGTCTTTCACATCGCCTCCTGCCGGATCCTTTCAGCTGGAGAGGCTGCCACGGATCGAACCCGGGACCCTGTGCAGGCCAAGCAGGTGCTCTACCGACTGACCCACAGCCCCTCCCCAGCCTCTCCCGTTTACTTGGCCATAAGGCCTGCTGGACACGGTGGGATCTGTGTGCCGGTAGTCAGAATAGAGGATGCCACAATATAGAGCGTGAGGCTATGAATTTGGGCAGGCCTGTCAAAGGTAGCAAGAACTGGCAAACCGTCTTGTGCAGGGGGTTGGACTAGATGACCCTGGAGGTCCCTTCCAGCTCTATGATTCTACCATTGATTGTACGTCATAGAGGGGCAGTAGTTCACATGGTTTTTGTGAAGATTTAAAGACCACTTAGATATAGATGGATCTCAGTTTTCCAGGGCACAGGCCAGGCTTCTTACTGAGGTCAGCAGAAGATACTAAGACAACCCATCGTCTATAGAACCATTTCTGTAAGAAGCAGGGGGGGGGGGGTTTGCCCTTGTAGTTTGTGCCGTTATTAGTCAGATCCTCGTTCCCTATTATGGCACATTCTCCATGTATAAAGTTGACAAATCCGGAACTGTAACCTCTGCTGGGCCTGTCAATGTAGACTTTGTTGCTGCTTCGCTTAGAGATACTTTTTTGGCCCCACCGATGGCTTGGAAGTGAAACCCTGAGCTTATTTCTCAACTGGTTACATCAAGGAGGACAGAGAGGCTTTCAACATCTTCTGTGGTGTTTTTCAAGGTCCCCTCTGTGACGGGGAGGAAAGAGAAATTGGGGGGGGGGGCGGTCTTTGTCGATCAAGGGCCATTGTGTCATGTTACGTGGCCCTCCCTCCCTCCCTCCAGGGAGCACCAGCAGGCCTTGCGCGGATCTCCCCGCCTTCGTTTTCCTCCAATGAGACGGGCTTGGTGGGAGTGAGGAGCCCCCCCGAGGTCACCCTCTGAGCTTCCTGGGGGGGGGGGATCTAAGCCCCGCCCCTCACTCGTCTGCAGCCATCCTTGTCCAAAGCTGTGTGAGGAAGGCAAAAATAAGTCCTCAAGCCCCCCCGGGGGAGGGGCTTTCAGTAGTCGGGAACAAAGTATTATTGGCAGCCTTTACTGTTTGGTGCAGTGGTGAAGTGTGCGGACTCTAATCTAGGAGAAATGGGTTTGATTCCCCACTCCTCCATTTGCACCTGCTGGATGGCCTTGGGCAAGCCATAGTTCTCTCAGAGCTGTCCTTGGAAAAGAGCCGTTTCTCTCAGAGCTCTCTCAGACCCACCCACCTCACACAGGGTGTCTGTCTGTTGTGGGGAGGGGAAGGGAAAGGAGTTTGTAGTGAAGGGCCATGGGGTATAAATCCAATCTCCTCCTCCTCCTCTTCCTCTTCTTCTTTAATGTCTTAATGATCTGGAAGAAGTTGTAGGTCATAGATAGGTCAGATACATGGGAGAAGTCCATATTGCCTCCGCTCTATCCTTGGTCCAATCTCTGGTTCTTCTTTTATGGGAGCTTGTAGCACGTGTGTGTTTTTCCCTTTGAAATACAAGCCGAGGCGGATTTCTTTTCCGATGCTTGATTGAATTATTATTTTCGGTGTCATGAGAACCCACGCTCTTTGTAGTCATGTGGAGGTCATTTGATGCTTGCTTGATGTTGGGACTTCTGAAAGGAGATGTTGAAAGTCTGTCCTTGATGTAACCAGTGTTCGAGTTGAATCCGGACCCTGATAAGTGAAGGAAATCTGTTAAGTTGAGGTAAAACACTCGGCAAAGGCTCTGTTGTAGGGTTAGACCTGCAGTGGCCCACACCTGCGCCCCACGGACACTTCTGCTGAGTCTGTCCTCCAAGGTTGCTTCGTTCCAGGCCTTAGTAGTCGACCGCATGGCCCGGTTGTGTCATGCAAAGTGTGTGACATGTCACTCAAGTGTGGGTTGGGGCCGCCTTCTTGTCTTGGGGAATGCCCTTTCCTAGGGTGAGAAGTGACCTGATTTTTCAAAGCAGTGTTGGGGCCTGTTCCCATTTTTGGGAGAAGCGAATGGCCATCTAGCCAGTGTTCGGTAGCTGGCCCCAAAAGATCACTAGGCATAAAAATGCTAAATAGCACATTTATCTTAGAAAATAAGATTTGGACTCGGGAGGTTGGTTCAGACAGAACATTTTGGGTGGTCTTGAGTAAACTGTGTTCGTTCGTCTGTAACTCCCTCGCAGTGTTGTGGCAGGAAGCTGCCTGGGTCCAAAATGAGGGGAATGGCATTGATCAGCCTGTGACTGCTGGTGGGAGTTCCTGGTGGGTTTCTTAAATGTGCACTCTGAAGAACACTTTCCTGGGAGTAAGCCCTACTGCGTAGACCAGTCTTTCACTCGTTTTGGACAGCGGAGTAAAATCCTTCCACCCAGCTCTTCACCCATCGTTGCTAAGGAGGGCCAGAAGAACTTGTTAAGGAAGAGAGCGCCCCCGCCTTGTGTCCTGGGGGGGAGGTTCCACAGGGGGTCTGGCCGCCCCTCAGGTAGGGCTGTGGAAATGCACCGAGTCCCATCCGTTCCTTTCCCAGGAAGGGCCAGACAGAGATGACATGAATGCTGGCTCAAGGTGTCTCCGGTCACATTTAGGCATCGGCCTTCCAGTTCCAAGTCTTCCAAAACTGCACACCTGATGTGTGTGTGTGGGGGGGGCAGGAGCAGCCCTGGCCGAGGCAGCCCTGAGTCCACGGTGGTTCCGGAACTCTCCTCTCCCGCCTGCTGCTGTCTGGCGTTAAGCTTCCGTTTTTTGGTCTTCCCCCAAGCTAGTCCTGACTCCAGACCCTGCCCCGAGTGCCGCCCCCTCGCCTGGGTTCAGTAGGAAGGAGCCATCCACGTTGGGGGGCCACTGTCCTCGAGAGCGGCTGCCAGTCTGAGCAGGCAATACTGACCTTGACAGACCAATGGCTTGATTCAGTGTAAGGCAGCTTCACGTGTGATGTATTCCTATCAGAATTCAGTTGTATTGATCCCCCCCTGCCGCCGATGCCGATTGGATTTAAGAGCTGTTTCTGAAGTGGCCAACTCAGCTGATCTGAATAAAGGGCCAATCCGTGTGAGAGCCTTTGTGGAGTAAAGGCTAGAGTGCCGGCTTCAGATCTGGGAGATGCGTGTTCAGATCACCACTCTGCCATGGAAGCCCGCTGGGTGACCTTGGGCCAGTCACGTACTTAGCCTAGAAGAAGAAGAAGAGATTGGATTTATACCCCGCCTTTCACTACCCAAAGGTGTCTCAGAGCGGCTTACAAACTCCTTTCCCTTCCCCTCCCCACAACAGACAGACACCCTGTAAGGTCGGTGGGGCTGAGAGAGCTCTGACAGAAACGGCGCTTTTTCAAAGACAGCTCTTGTCAGAACTACAGCTTGCCCAAGGTCATCCAGCAGCTGCAAGTGGAGGAGTGGGGAATCCAACCCAGTTCTCCCAGATTAGAGTCTGCGCACTTAACCACGACACCAAACTAGCCTAGTCTACCTCATAGGGTTGGTGTGAGGTTGCAACAGAGAACAGAACAACTTGAGCTGCCTTGGTTCCCCACTGGAGAGAGCGGCAGGTATAAAATAAGTAAGCAGAGTAAGGTGCCAAGTGAGTGCCAGCCCTGTGATTTCTTTTTCCACTTCCACAGAGATGTTTCTGATCTTACTGGATTTCCTGAAATGCTCGGAGGGCGTGTGAAGACCCTCCATCCGGCAGTCCACGCTGGTAAGTGGAGCCCACCGCCAGCCCCCCTCCCCTCTCTCTCTGTGGTGGGGGAATTCTGGGTAGGGCCTCGTGATAGGCTGGCCGAGACACTCCCATCAGTATGCCATTTCTCTGATAGATCAGGATGGGCAGCTGTGTTAGTCCGCATGTCGCAGCAGAAAAGAGCCAGCGTCCAGGAGCACCTTCAGGACTAACCAGGTTTGTGGCAGGGGAGGAGCTCTCGTGAGTCCCGGCTCCCTTCTTCAGATACTCACAGAAGATCCTCCATTGCCACAAATCTGGTTAGTCTTCCAGGTACTCTCTTCGATCGAAGCCGGGCCCTGGCTGCCCCGTGTCGTGGCCGATCGAGCCACAGCAGCTCAGCCACGGCAGCCGCGAGCGAGTGGAGTTCCCCCCCCCATCAGTCAGAGACTCCCCTACCTTAGGACCACGGGGGACGGGACTCTATCGGTGACACTGAATTCCCGTCCGGCTCTAAGGGCTCTGCTGCTGAAGTTCTCGTTTCCTGAGTTTCGTAAATTGTAGCTTAAAATGCCTGAATATTTTCAAATATTTTAGTTTTGAGAAACCTGGGAAGCAGAGGTAGGTGATGGAGAACTCACTGCTGCCTGTGTCCTGACCTTCCTGCAGAGTTCAAGGTGTCCAGCGTGGTTCGCCTTTCCTCTGCTGTGTCCTCACAACAGCCCTGCGATGTAGGTTAGGCTGAGAGGTGGTGTTGCTGGTCATGGAGAGGGGAGTCGCCCAGGGAGGTTCAGGGTGGAGCGGGGGGTTGAGCCGGCGTTTCCCAGGGGCTGAAACAACACTCTTGTGCTACGCTGGGCCGGCTCTCACGTACGCTCTGTTTCTACCGGATGGTGTTTTTCTTTTGTCGTTTGGGACCCGTGAATAATTTGTGCTGGAAGGTAATCCTTGCAAAGCATTCCTCAGCCAAGCAGCCTCTTTTAAGTCTAGAGGTTGCAATCTGTTGCGTCTGTACAGTCCTCAGTTACTTGGGAGACAGTCCCATGGAACTCGCTGGACCTTTCTCAGTATGTTTGGGATCATGCGGTGTGATTTTTAGTGATTGTTCTAAGGGCAGCCATGTTAGTCCTGACGAGTTTCATGTAATGAGGGAAGTGGTGAAACAGGACTTACTTGTCGCATAACCAAAGCCCTGGTTTTTGTCCCTTTCCAACCAGGCATCCTGGCTCGTGACATTCCACAAGATGCTGCGGACATGAAGAAACTGGATTTCAGCCTTGTGAGGTAAACCTTCTGAGGGGTTATTGTGAGTAATAAGTCATCATGAGATGAAACCTCCGATTCCAGTCAGCAAATGTCGATTCGCAGGAGAGACAACGGCTTCCTGCCTTTCCGTCTGGAAGTGGCTCCTTTCCATTTTGAAGCTGCCAGATAATTTTTTAGACATTTCGTGAATGGGTGCCTCTCTTTTGGCCTGAGAAATTCCACAGGGAAAGGAACCTCCGGTCAGGAGCTCTGGTTTTGACGTACGAGCAAACATGACCTTTGAGACGGACGCCGGACGGTTTGGATTTCGACATGTGGGTGGACTCCAAACCCAGCAGCGCAAAGATTCAGGGCCAGCCTCGGCTGCTCAGACGCTCCCAGCGGACCTGATCCGTACCATCCGTCCCTCCTGCTGCCAGTGTGGTTCTTCAGCCATAATCTGTTGGCTGGCTGGTCTCCTGGGAAGTAAACTCAGAGGCCAAGCCGGGGACTTTTCTTCTGTCTTTCCAAGGGTCACCACCATGTCCCCAACTGGGTGGAACTTTATTTTTTTAGAAAAAGCCTTCCTTGTTTGCTCCCGGAGCAACACAACTGTCTGATTGTGTTGTGCTTTGTGGTGTAGCAAGTCATCTTTTATGGATGTTTATGAACAAATGAAGGAGGCAATGGCTCAGTTGTGGTTTGGTATGATGTAGGAGTTTGCGTTCAGCCAGTAAGCTGGAATCGGAGCCCATGATTTGATGTGTGTGTGTGGGGGTCACAGACCTGGGTGGGGGCCGTGTCTGAGCTGGCCAGATGTTGTGGCCTGCTGCACCCCAGAAACAGCTGTCCTGGGAAGCGGTGAGGAAGGAGGGCCCTGGCTTGGGTTCTTGGTGAAGAGGGACCAGCGCAGGCAGTGGCTTGAGGCTCGACTGGAGCCACGGCCCCCGCTCCTTCATCACCTGAACATCGTGGGCTGCTGGGTTCCGTGTCTACATTTTGCGCTTTGCAAAGACGCCACTTCATTCCCCCCCCCCGTGTCATGTCCCGTTACTTGGCCCACACTGGTCATGTGAGTGTTCCCGGCAGCAGAGACGTGTGTTTGGCCATCGGGGCGGGGCAAGGGGCGATTCCCTGGGCTGTGGTGGGGCCCTCTCCACCCCCTCCTGCGGCCGGCGGTCCAGCTGCCAGTGAGGCGGCCATCTGAGGATTCCTCCTGTGACTCTCCCTTTGTGGAAGAGACGGGGGTGGCCTGTGGAAGGGGTGGAGCTGGGCGGGGATCTTCACTGATCCTGGATCCCCTGGTCACCGGGCACAGTGCAGAATGTGTGCAGCAGCGCTTCAGTGCCCCCCTGCCTCGTGTCACAGGCACAGGCCCCTCCGAGGCTGGAGGAGGTGGCACTTTGGGGTGGAAGCGCCTCTGCCGATGGAGCGGCTGCCTGCAGAGCTGGCCTTGAGCAGATCATTCCGAGTAACCCGCCCCCCCCCTCCTTCCTTCCTTCTTCTTCTTCTAGAGTCGTGGTTTGCAACCTCTACCCCTTTGTCAAGACTGTAGAGTCCCCGAATGTCACCGTCCAAGAGGCGGTTGAACAGATTGACATAGGTAAGTTTAAAAAAAAAAGTTTAAGTGGGTCGCACATTCTCTGTGTGCAAAGACGGAAGCGTAACTGATGTCGCCGCTAAAAAAAAAAACACAAGTCAAATCATGTCCAACTTAATCTTAAGTCGTCCTGATCGATAAATACCCTTTCTTAACCAAAGGTGGCGTGGCTTTGCTGAGAGCGGCTGCGAAGAACCATGCCCGGGTGACCGTTGTGTGTGACCCTGGGGACTACACCCTTGTGGCGAAGGAAATGAAGGCATCGAGTAAGAACGACACCACGATGGAGACCCGCCGCCAGTTGGCCCTCAAGGTACATGGTGTGTTCTTGCGGGAAAGCAGCGCTGGACCAGCCGAACTTCTCCAGTATCCTGGTTTTCTTTTTCATTGGTGGTGTAGTTTTTTTTAAAATTTCTCATATGTGCATGTGTGTTTGAGTGTGTGTGTGTGTGCCCCTGGAAGTCGTGGCGACCTCTGGTGACTGACCCCTACCGGGGGCCTGGAGGATATTCAGAGATATTCAGAGAGGGGGCTGAATGAAGCCTGCCCCTGTTATACCAATAGATTCCCAGTCCAAAAAGAAGGAGTCAAAATGAGGGGGAAAGTTCATGGTGTTTTAATTGCAACCAAGACACTTGAAAACAGTTAGGCCAAACTTAGCCTTTCAAAAAATTTCTGAACGCAATCAGGAAATACATGAAATTTTATACTTGAAATGACATAGTCATGAAGATAACATTCAAAAAGCATAATTGGTTACAAAGGACAATGCATCATTTGAGTAATAGTCCACTTATTGGTCAAATGTGAAGAAAGGTGTGCCTACATAATATCTTCAAACGTTTACTTAACCTAACCTGAATAATATTGGCCAAGGATTCTTCAAACGAAGGATTCTGATACGAAGCTAAAATCCTTTTTGACCCAGACACTACAAAGTTTTACCCTAAACAACTAAAAACCATGAACTTTATACCTATCTTCTGTTCCAAAAGAATGTTATTTTCTTGTCTGCTTAATCTAACCTACAAGGGAAAGGCCTACTATCTAATAGGCCTTCGTTACATCCTAATAAAATCTTACTTGGGAGACAAATCTATAAAACCAGAAAAATATGAATAATCGGGGGGGGGGGGGGAAATCTTTATATTCCCATTCATACGACACCCCTGTCCTCCGGCCTGCTGGCCTTCCAGGGAGGTCTCTCATCCCAGTCCTTGCCGAAGTCGACCCTGCTCAGCTTCCCAGACCTGACGGGAGATGGGGGGCTGGGCGGTCCAGGTGTGTGAGGGCTCCGATGTCCAGGTTCTCCGTGCATCTCGGCCACTTCCCCTCCAGGCTTTCACCCACACGGCTCAGTACGACGCGGCCATCTCCGATTACTTCCGGAAGGAGTACAGCAAAGGCGTCTCTCACCTTCCCCTGAGATACGGCATGAATCCACACCAGACGCCCGCCCAGCTCTACACGCTCAGGCCTCAGCTTCCCCTGACAGGTAGGGTGACTCGGACCGCCTGTTCTGCGTCATGGAAGCACCTGGCTCCTCCGCGTTTGTTTGTTATTCGTTCGATCTATCCCCCGCCCTCCCCGCCAAGGCGGGCTCAGGGCGGCTTACATAGAATGCCTAGATAGAAATGCAGTTAAAATGTACTTGTGGCATTCGTGTCGTGCTTCTGGGAGTTCAGAGGGCCTCGTGTGCCTTCTGGTTTGGAGTCAGAGCAGCAAATCTGTAGTGAGGCAGGGGGAAGCGTCCTTCGCCCCGTGGGTGGAGGGGGAGTGGGGCTCCCACGTGAGCTCATGGTGGAGACTTTCTGGCTCAGCAGCCACAGTCCTTGGATTCCCAGGCTTACAGCTTTTCATGCTTCAAAAAACCGAAAACAAAAAGACCCTTCAGCCATCGTGTTTGCAGTGGCCAAAAGTACCTGAAAATAACTTCAGCATCCGGCTGAACTAATATCTTTGTTCTGGGCCTATCCCCATTCCTGTCTGTCCTTTCCCGTCAGGCAGCCTTTCCACCACACTGCTCCTGACCCACAATGCATCCGAACAGGCTGGCTCAGACCAGGGAGGGTCCCTCTAGGCCAGCCTCCTGCTGCCTCCTGCACACTCTGGCCAGGCGGTTCCTCCGGAGGGCCGGCAGCGGGGCCGAGAGGCTTCCCAGGGTGCTCCAGAAGTCTCCTGCCTCTGAATGTTACCAAGGCCATAGTGGCCAGTGACGGACCGTTGCTCATTGTGTCAAGAAGTGTCTCCTTTTGTCTGTCCTGAACCTGCTGCCCATCGGCTTCCTTGGACGTCCCCCGGAGGTGTCACATTTTGGGAGCGGGAGAAAAAGTTCTGTGTCTGAGACCCCCGCTCTGTCTAAATGGCCACGGAGCGCCCAGCGGTCCAGCTCCTCCCTCTCGGCTTGGAGGCTTCTTGCGTTGGCCTTCTTCGGACACCTCTGGTGTGTGTCTCTCTCCAGTGGCCCTCGCCTCCCTTGGCCCCTGGGCCTCTGCACGTGGCCTTCCTTCGCCCTCCTGCCCTCCCTCCCAGGTTCCCTGATGCACCTTTCCGTCTTCCCCAGGGTGTTTACGCACAAGTGTGTGTGTGTGTCGTCCCCCCCCCCGGGAGTCAGGCAAGAGTGGGCCGTGGAAGCTCCTCCCCAAAGGGCCACGGGCTTCTAGATCTGGTCCCTTGGGGGAAGGAGTCACACCTCAGGTTGGCCAGAGCGCACCAGGGACTGCGATCACAGGACTGGTTCTGTCGGATGGAGCGGAATGCATGTTGAGCACCCCTCATCGCCACACCGTTCTTGGGCCAGGTGTGCTTTTCCGTGACTTCACGTGTGTCGCACCAAGGGGACAGTCTCTTCCCCCCACCCCCCATTGCCACGTGCTGCTGAGTCCAGGAAGGCCTGGAAAGGAATCCGGTGCGGAGGCCGTTTTGCAGCCCACCCCGGGCCGGTGGAGAACTTCCTGCGGGGCCTGCTGAGGCTTCCCCGACTGACGGTGCTGCCCCCCTCCCCCGCTCTCTCTCTCTCTCCCTCCGCAGTGCTCAACGGCTCTCCGGGGTTCATCAACCTGTGCGATGCCCTGAACGCCTGGCAGCTGGTGCGGGAGCTCCAGCGGGCCCTGGGCCTCCCGGCTGCCACCTCCTTCAAGCACGTCAGTCCGGCAGGTGAGGCGACGGTCGGTCAGTCGGTCGGTCGGTGGGGCACCCGGGGCTTTCTCCGCCTGCTGCTTTGGTTGTGGGGGGTGTGGCTGCAGCCGCCTGCGTGCGTGTGCTTGCAAAGACCTGCTTGTGTCTAGATCGGAAGAGCCAGCAGAGCATGTGTGCGTGTGTGCGCGGGAGAGAGGGAGCAGCGCTTGCGTGGTGCTCCAAGGCTGTTCGGAGAGAGTTGCCTGTGGCTGGGTGGGTGTTTGGTCCATGCTTTCTGTTTGGTGGCACAGCCCCAGGGGGCAGCAGAAGAGCAGGGGATGGAGCCAGGACTTGCCTCTTCCCTGCCTGGCGATCCTCCCCTGGGAGGGATTTGGGGTGCTTGTGGGGAGAAGCAGCTCTCCCGATCAGAAGGGGGCGGGGGTGACGCCTCTGGGGGAGACAGGAGGAGGTGTGCTTGAGGCAGAACAGCAGGCGTCACGAGCACCTGCCCTGAAGGGCCGAGCCCAGGAAGGAGGCAGGACGGAGACGGGCGGAGCCTGCGCAGCAAACCCGGAACAACCATGAAGGGGCTCCTGCCCGTCTCAGGGTCTCACGTCCCTGAGATCTAAGCCTGGGGACAGAGGGGGGTTGTGTTTTACACCTGTTTGCTTTGGCCTGCCCTCAGATACTTGTAGTCTTGGACTGTTCGCTGCGTGCTTTCCCTTGTGTTAGTCAAAATCCCCCACCCAAAACTAGAATCATAGAACGTTAGAGTTGGAACTGGGACCTTGCAGGCCATCCAGTCCAACCCCCTGCTGCACTCTGCAGGAGCAGAGCCGAAAGAGAGCCCTACAACATACCCAAAAGAGGGTCCTCCAGCCTCCACTTGGAAACGTCTCCAATTGGGAGTCGCTGAGTCTTTCCATTCGCCTCCTTCTTTGACTCATGCTTACAGAAGCAGATGAAAAGCGGGGGGAGCCTGGGTAGTGTGGGGTCTGTCCCGGCTGTTCCCCCTGGCTTCCGTGGTGGTTAAAAATGGGGGGGGGATTCTGAATTTGAGCGGGGAGGTCTGACTGGAGGCTGCAAAGCTGCAGTGCTCCTGGTGGGCTGTGGGTGGCAGCAGAGCGTAAACCCTGTCTGGGGAAGAGGAACTCCCCGGCGGTCTAGCTGCTTGCGATGCGGGCCAGCGGAGTCAATCCCTCAGTCCCTGTGGCCAGAACAAGGGTGCGTGGGCTTGCGTGACCACACGGAGTTCTTCACATTCCCGTATTGCAGATGAGGGTCCGAGACCCAGAGTTTGCGTGGCTTCCCACCTGGCCAGTTCATGGTGAAGGTGAGATTTGACCCGCCGACTCCCTGGTGTGTCATTTCGTGTCATGGCTGCTCCGCTCCACCAGGCAGCTTTGCATGGGCCAGGATGTGGCTGGCACAGAGGCCAGTTGGCCGTGTTCATTGTCATCACGATAAATGCATATGCGTCATAACACGGTGCAGCTTTGATAGGGCTGTTGCCCCCCCGCCCCCCCCCCTGTGATTTTCATTTTGTGCGCACCTTAAAGGGCATGGTGGTCATAACTTAAGCGTTAATCCCATTTGGACATGAATGAGCACATGAATGACTTCATAAAATTATGACGGAATGAGTCTGCTGCCCAGTGCTTGGCATAGCTGCGTGAGATGTGTTTGCAGTGGTCCTGCAGTCTTGAGGCCGTGTTCTTACGGTTTGGTGCTGGTTGCTTGCGTTCTTAGCGCAGTTCACCGTGCAGCGCATCCTCCTCCCTCCCACTTGACTGTGCATGATGGCTCCCGGGGTTCATTGCACTCAGAGCTGCAAAGCCGTTCCCCAAACCAGGGCCATGAAAAGTGACCTTGAAAATGACTTTCAGCGGCTCTTTGTCAGAGTGGCATCCATCCACGCCTCTTTTTGCCTCCCTCCTGTGAGTGCCTGCTTCAAACTCTGCGGGGAACCATTTCCTTGCATGCTTCTTAGCTGTTGTCTGGACTTCCTGTCTCTGCTGATTTTGCCCACCAGGTGCGGCTGTTGGCGTACCACTCAGCGAGGAAGAGGCTCACGTCTGCATGGTGCACGACTTGCTCAAGACTCTGACCCCCTTGGCAGCTGCGTACGCACGGGCAAGAGGTGGGTGCACGTGTGAAATGGGGCTCCAGCCGCTGCTCTTTCGGGGCTGGCTTTTCAGCAGCATTCACACCGTTAGTAGTCCAGGCAGCCTCTACAAGTGTGCTTCCCTGCCTTCTACTCTGGGAGAACCGGGTTTGATTCCCCACTCCTCCATAGGCAGCTGCTGGTGGGACTACCTTGGGTCAGCCATAAGTTCTCTCAGAGCTCTCCTCTCAAGGGCAGTTCTCGAGAGAAAGAGCTCTCTCAGCCCCACCCACCTCCCAGGGTGTCTGTCTGTTGTGGGGAGGGGGAAGGGAAAGGAGATGGTAGGCCGCTCTGAGACTCCTTCAGGTAGTGAAGGGCCATGGGGTAGAAATCCTATCTCCTCCTCCTCCTCCTCTGGATTGGCTGTGGAACCCCCCCACACACACACACATGACCCGGTGAGGGGAAGAGCCCCCTCTCACATTTCCGGGGGGGGGGGCTGGTTGCGAGATAAAGAGACCGCGAGCGGTTATTCTGTGTCCCTGACCACTGCTGGAGAGAGAGAGGAGGGGGCTGGGTCCCAGTGCCGACCTCACGGGCCACGAGGCATTTTTGATGGGGGGGGTTTTTTGGAGTGTAGCCAGTGATCATGTGGTTGTGCTTTTATGTCCTGATTGTGTCTCTGATTCTGAATGAGGAGGGAGGGGTAGCTGTGGAGAGCGGCTTAATCCCAATCCTGCAGCCGGTGGCAGCAAGAGAATCGGGGGGGGGGAGATGTCCCCATCACCTTTTGTCCCTACGCCCCCCCCCCGGCTCCAGCCCCAAGGGGTCTCCCCAAGGGGTCACTGTGGCCCCAGAGCTCCGGTTGGCTTGATGGGTGTTCCTTAGGAATGTGGGTTGCCTTTCACCGACTTCACTGCAGCAGGACCAGCAGAAAGGGAGGGAGGGGGGGTGACCCACCCCAGAAGAACTGAGAATGAAGAGGAGATCAGGGGATGACAAAGAGGACTGACGCCAGGACAGCCTGCACCCCTTCCGGGATATTTCTTCCCCCAACCACATGAAATCTGTTGTCACAGACGCTTAGGAACTCTCCCTGGGATTGGCTCCAACTGGGTCGCCCTGTCAGAGGGCCCCGATCCCACAGAGACCTGCCAGTGACCCGTCAGGCCTCCTCCCACCCCCACAGATGCCAGCTGGAGATACACGCTGGTCAACTTGGAGCATCACCTGAAAGCTTCCCTTGGTCCCAGACAAGACTCGGGTCTCCCCATTTCTGCCCCAGCCCTTTCATTGCATGGTTGGAACTTGATTTTAGAAACCGGCAAGGGCCGGGATTTGTCCAGCCACCCGCCCTCCCCCAGGTAGAGGCTCCCATGTCATTAAAGGGTAGGTTTCTGCCCCACCCTCCAAGGGGGGGGGGGAAGTAGTAGTTACTGAGGGAGACGTGGAGACTGAGAGACTTTCTTTCCCAGGATTCCAAAGTCCTGACCTGTTCCACACGCCTCAAGTACCCACCTCTGAACTATTTATTTATTATTTATGTATTTAATTTGATTTGTAGCCCTCCCCCCCCCCACCGCCAAGGCAGGCTCAGGGTGGCTGCAAAGCTCAGCCGTGGCGCCTTGAGGGTCTGACTGGTCTGTTGCTGCCTTCCCCTCCCTCCCTCCAGGGGCTGACCGGATGTCGTCCTTCGGGGACTTCATTGCTCTCTCCGACATCTGTGACGTCCCCACGGCGAAGATCATTTCCAGAGAGGTAAGCCATTGTTCCCTGTTCTTCCTCAGGATGGTTGGGCTGTCGTGGGCTGTGTTGCTAACAGATACCCAGCAGGTTGGCGGCGGGGGGGGGGGGGGGGGGGGGTTAGGGTTAGGGTGCTGCACTTTTGCTACTGGTGGAGAGAAACGTTTTCGGGTCTTTGGAACCTGCCTTTGGAACCTGTTGAAACTTTAAAGCAACAGGGAACCCTGAAAGGGCGGCTTGGGAATGCTGCGTGTGAAACACAGTCAGGTGGCAAGAAGGAACTAAGGTAGTCTGAGGCTACGAAGGGCCTGGTGGGTGGGAGAGAGTTCCTAAAAACAGCACATCTGGGCCTGATAGGCCACAACGGAAGGTTATGCCAAATGCGTGTCACGCTCTAAATTCCCCCATGTCTCAGCCACCGTAATCATGTCCCATCAACTCCTGGAATGCAGTCCTTAAAATTAATTCTCCCGCACCACCGTTCTGCATGGGATGGTCCAGAAATAATTTTGCAAAGAGATGTTTTCGAGCCAAAGATGTCAAGCCGCTGGAAGCGCGATGCCTTTCCTCCGAAACCTGCCCCCTGGCGAGTGGCAAGCTGTCTTGAGCCACAAGGAAAGGCACGATGGAAATATTTTGATACCCATTAATAATAATAATAATAATAATAATAATAATAATAATAATAATAATAATAATAATGCCTCTACTAATAAAAACTGTTTTGACTTCTGAGGATTTTTCAAAACAATGGAGTGTAACCTGCGTGACATCTGTGTGGGTCTGCGTGGGGGCAGGGAACGTGCTTTTTGGGTTGGTTTTACGGAATGTGTGATTTTATCATCCGAGTGATTCCTGTTGCATGTTTTGCAAGGAGCCATGCTTTCACTCACTCCCCTTTCCGCCTTTAAAAAACTCGGGCCCCTCTCGTTGGTCCCTAGAAAGAGCCGTTTCTGTCAAGAGCTCTCTCGGCCCCACCCACCTCACAGGGGGTGTCTGTTGTGGGGAGGGGAAGGGAAAGGAGTCTGTCAGCCGCTCTGAGACTCCCGAGTAGAGGGCAAGGGGAATAAATCCAATCTCTTCTTCTCTTCTTCCATGCCCAGAAGGTCCCCAGACAGGAGGGTTTCCACCACTTTGTAGCACTGTCTGCGGGATTCTCAGCAGCAGCAGTGATGTCCCTTCCTGAAGAGCCCGGGGGGGTTAGCAGCAGCCTCTCTACCCCCACTGGCTCTGGGAGGGGGTCCTCAGGCGGTCAGCCCCAGCTGCGTGGGGGCGTGGTGCTCTCAGGATGAAACACTGCTCTGCGTATCAAAAATTAGCACGCTGGCGAGAAGGCGACGTGTAGACCCTCTCGCAAGGGATGAGCAGCGTCCTGCACAGAGAGGAGGTCTCCTAAGGAGCGGCGTGGGGGCGTGTGACCCCCCCTCCCCTCCCCTCCCCTCCCCTCCCCTCTGCAATGGCTGCCTTGTCTGGGAGGACGAGGGGGCTTGGGGTTGGCCCCATCCTTTGCGCTGCCTTCGGCCTCTGCCGGCTGACCGGGCTGTGTTGCTGTCCTGCGTGCAGGTATCAGATGGAGTGGTGGCTCCCGGGTACGAGGAAGAAGCCCTGAAGATCCTGTCCAAAAAGAAGAACGGGGGCTACTGTGTGCTCCAGGTCAGTGCCCACACGGGGCCGGGGGGGCCGGGAGGGATTTGAAAGGGCCTCGTGGCCCCCCTCCCCCAACCCGGTTCGATGGCTCGGCAGACTTCCCTGCTCCCCCTTCCCTAAGGCTCCTTCTGGCGTGGTTTGAAAGAAAATGAACCAGCTTCATCTCAGCTGGAGGTCTCTGGAAGCTGCCCGTGAGGTTTGTCCTCAATAATCCAGTCTCTTCTCCAGAGGGAGGATCCAGGCCCTGCAGGGGGGGCCAAACTCTGGCTCAGGAGCCACATATTGTGCCACTCCCAGCAGGGCGGCTGGGGAAGCGAAGGGGAGGCGTGCCCCCCCCCCCGGAACAGTCTTTTCTTTCCCAGCCAATGTTCTTCTTTCCACCTTTCTCTCTCTTTTTCTCCCTTTCTCCCTCCCTCCCTCCCTCCCTCCCTCCCTTCCTTTCTCTCTCTTTTCCTTCCTTCCCCCTCCCTCCCTCCTCTATTTGCTTTCTTTGTTTCTCTCTCCTTCTCTCTCTCCACCTCTCTTTCCACCTCTTTCATTCTTTCTTTCCACCTCTCTCTCTCTCTCTCTCTCTCTCTCTCTCTCTCTCTCTCTCTCTCTCTCGGACAAATAAATATCATTAGCAAACAAACAAATATCACTGGACAAATAAATTATCATTTTCAATATCTGCTTTTACCCCCTTTTGTTTTTATTTTTGGCAGTCTCGTTGAATGTTAATAAGAGCATATGTGTCATATTTGCCTTGCAGCTCTCAGACAATTGGCGTTGACTCTGGGTGGCTCTTCCGTGAAGCAAATTTGGCCACCCCTGGCCCAGGCAGCCCCGCGCGGCTCGCAGCTTTCCTGGGAAACTCCTGTTCATCCCACCCCAACCAGACTTGACAACAGAATTCTGAAAGTTGTTGTTGTTGTTGTTTAAAGAGGTTCCCACCATGAGCCTTTCAGCCCTCCTGATTCTACTCATTTCTGCTGAATTATCTCTGCCCTGCCCTGAATCTCCCCGGCTGGCCTGATGGCCTCCGGTCTCGGAGGCGAAGCCGGGTGGGTCCTTGGGTGGGAGGCCACGAAGGGAGCTAAGGGTCACCGCCCAGAGGCGGGCCAGGGCCGGCCCCCTGCGAGTGCTGGAGGAAGGGGCTTCCACCAAGGTCTGATCCCATAGGCCGGCAGGGGCCACTGGCTGCTGCGCTTGGCAGTATCCTCTCCACGGCGGCTGGAACACCGATTTGGGGCGAGCTTTTCTCTCGGCCGGCAGGAGCCCAGTGTCTCTGGGGTGCCGCTTCTCCCAGCCCGCCTGGGGCCCGGGGTCCCTGGAGAGTGCTGAGGAGGAGCGATGCCGGCGAGGCTTCCCCCCCCACCTCAAGTGCTTTCTCTCCCCCCTCCCCTGCTTCTGCTTCCAGATGGACCCGGCCTACGAGCCCGAGGAGAACGAGCTCCGCACCCTCTTTGGCCTGCATCTCATGCAGAGGAGGAACGATGGCCTGGTCGACCGGGCCCTCTTCAAAAACATTGTGACGAAAAATAAAAACGTACGGTGATCCAGGGGGTGGGGACACACACACACATACACCCCTTTATAACTGAGCTTGCTTGTCCGGGTGGTCTGCTCCACTCTGGAGGAGAGCCCCCCCCCCCCCAGGGGGGGGGGGGTCCCAGCTCCATGGGCCATGGAGAAGGGGGGCCGCTCCGGAGGCAGTAGTCAGCCCCTGCTTGGCATGCCAGGAGTCTGGGGTCAGGGAAAGACGCCTGCCCGATTGGAGAGTCCCGGAGAAGGAGAGATCACGGGACAGACCGTAGTTTGTCAGGAAAACAACCGTGATGTGAGAACGAAGCCGTGGTTGAAACAATTGGAAAAAATATATTTTTAATGTGTCCAGTGTGTAACAAGTCGTTAAAGTTGTTTCCTTTGAAGCAAAGTGGTCTCAAATATCTCTTATGACGGTGCAGCGCCTGAAGCAGTTAGTTTAGGGAGGATTTCTAAAGGGCTTCTCTCACAGTGAATACGGCATGAGCCAGTCCAACAGAGGGAGCATCATTACTTTGCAGTGAAAATATGATGAAGGGGGTGAGTTAGGGTGCATTCAGACCAAAATCGTTAGAAAATTCTATGTCGTTCTGTTAGAAAATGAATGTATATTTTCCAGTGAAAGGTCTCATCTGATGAAACTTTAAGTGAAACGGTCCAGTGAGCGCTGCACCGTCATAAGAGATATTTGAGACCACTTTGCTTCAAAGGAAACAACTTTAACGACTTGTTACACACTGGACACATTAAAAAACATATTTTTTCTAATTGTTTCAACCACGGCTTCGTTCTCACATCACGGTTGTTTTCCTAGCGAACTACTGCTGATTGGAGAGTCCCGGCTGGTCGGTCCCGGGCTAGGGGAAGCCAGGGTCCAGCAGCTCCTCCTCCTCTTCCTCCGGCAGCCTTGTTCACCGATACAGAGTGGGGCGGAGAGAGCGGCTGTGCTTGTCCACGGCTGTGCGAAAGACGCAAGGGACGAGAGACTGAGGGATGAGACAGGAAGGAGAACTGCTTGGGCACAGCCGGGTCTGCATCAGCTGCTCCAGAGGCTTGCCTGGGGCCCCTGGTTCAAGCAGGCAGCCCCCAGAGAGCACGTGGCCACCCGGGGACTAGGAAAGCGGCACTGCCCCAGCCAGGGGACAGCCCCGGGCCGGGCATTGGGGAGAGGAGAGCAGGAGGCCCGTCCCGCATGGGTGCCCTGGAGCTGACTTAGCGGACGCTGGAGCTTCTCTTTGCGTTTACAGCTCTGTGCAAGCAGCACCCGTCCAACTCCCTGTGCCAATAAGCCTTGCTGGGCTGGCCGGGGTGTGATTGGCTGACGTGACTTGTGTGTGCACACTTCTGGCACCGACGGAGTAGGAACTGCAACGTGTTTTGCGACCTGTTTTATTTTGAGACACCGTATCGTGTCTGTTGGAGCCGAGGAAGGACAGGTGCATTTGATGAGGAAGACATCGAGCGGTGGCGGCCCCAGTCCTCCCGGGGCTGCTTGGGAGGCGCAGGGCCAGGGCCCCTGTCTATAGGCGCAGAGACAGAGTCCCAGTCGTGACTGGAGTCCACACCCAGGGAAATACCCGCTGAGAGGATTCCCGCGTGTTTCATTTTAGCGCACCTGACATTACTGCCTTTTATAAATATTTCACAGGAGTGCTGATGTTTTTGATATTCACTGATGGGTGTGGTTGCTCAGGAAGGGCAGGCAGCGGTTTCCTTTATCTGGCTCATAGCTGTCACTGTCCTGTGCTTTGAATCTGCACTTAGCAAACGGTATTGTTTCCAAGCCTGTGCCAAGGGTCCGTGCTGGCCCTGTCGGCATTTTTGGGTCAAGATACACACGTCCTCTTCTCTGCTTAGTTTTGCATGAACCTCTGCATACTTGCCCAGCGAAGCACACGGGTGAGAGGAAATCCCCAGCGCAGGTGTGGGACGGAGCGCCGGCTCAGCGGTCAGAGGCTCTCCTGGGGTGTCAGGTGTGTCGTGCCCGCTGAACAGCACTTCCGGTTTACCCCGCAAAGTGTCTGGCATATGAATGACTGAATCTTTCCCCCTTTCTGACTTGACTTTGCAAAGTCACCTAACCCCACCCCACAGGAGAAGGAGGAGAAGAAGAGATTGTATTTATACCCAATGGCCCTTCACTTGGAGTCTCAGAGCGGCTCACAAACTCCTTTCCCTTCCCCTCCCCACAACAGACACCCTGTGAGGTGGGTGGGGCTGAGAGAGCTCTGACACAAACTGCTCTTTCAGGAACAGCTGTGCCAGAGCTTGTGACTGACCCCAGGTCACACCAGCAGGTGCAAGTGGAGGGGAGTGGGGGAATCAGACCCGGTTCTCCCAGATTAGAGTCCGCGCACTTAACCACCACACCAAACTGGCTCTCCAGTACAGTACAGCTGCCCCGTTTACTGCTGTACCGTGTGTGTTCAGTGAATGACTTGGCTGAATCAGCACACCTCTCTGAACAGTTTGAATGCTTGCTTTTTTTTAACCTGACATTTTTATCTATGCTCTTAGGAAAGGTGGAATAGATTTACTTACAACTTAGCAAGATCTTTCCATTCCAAACTCTGAAAGTTCTCTGTCTTGCATTTCTAAATTCTCAGTGAAAACTTAAAAGATTGAGCCAGGAATCTCTCACCACCAGTGAGATGGAAAACTTGACCCGGATTTTAACCAAGGCAGATTGGATTATGTCTGTGTTATCATTGGCATCTCCCGTTCCTTTTTGGAGCTGCCCGGAAACCCTTCCAGCGCTCAGATTAAATGTAGCTGCTCAAATCCAGGGGTATCCCGAAAGACACAATTCCCGTAGCCTTGGTGACGAGACTGAAGCATCTAGATGCTTCTCTTGTATCTCTGTTGTTGGTATTTTATAAAGCCACGTAGACAGTTGGTTCCGTACGCCTTGCTGTGTGTGTCAGGTTTTTAAGGCCACATCACGTTTCTGTGGAAAGTTTTTGCAGGCGGCTGAGAAGCTTTTCATTCCTGGGCCCCTGTTCTGAGATGCGGAAGTGGGCCTGTTGCCGTTCCACGCGGTTAGCTGGGGCGGGGGGTGGGGAGGACTGCTGAATGGAGACCACGTGAACAGGCCGTGATGTCTTGTGCTGAACGAGGTGGGTGTCCCGTTGGCATGCTGGGCGCCAGTCCTCTCCTTTGCGCTCCGTCCAGTCTACTCTTGTGGTGGCTGCCTTGGTCCTGTGGGGCCCACCACGGTTCCCTTTCCTGGAGCCAGACCTCCTGCGGCACATCTGAGCACCTTCTGGGCCCTTGCGCTGGCACTCCCTGAGATGTCCAGGGAAACACACACACACACACACCGCGGGTGACCCAGGGTTCTGGGAGCAGTCCCCCCCCCCCGTCCTGCCCTGCCACTCTGGCCCTGCAGTCAGCCCGGGGGGAGGGGGAATCAGCAGGGGGCTGTTTCGGCTCTTTCTCTTGGGGGAGGGAGGGGCCAGCACTGGACTCCCAGGCCTCACCAAGCCTTGTTGGCACTGTGGGGTGATTTGCCAGTGGCGTCCCTGCCTTCCCCAAGTCTCCTCCTCCGTCAAGTGCAGTGGGCATTTATACCAGCGGGGCAGGGGCTGGAATGTCCGCATCCACTCTAGCCGGAGGGAGCCCAGAACTGCCCAGAGCACGGCGGGAAGGGCCCCGTAGCACCAGCCGCAGGTCCTGTAAGGGGGACGTTCCCTTCTTGCCCGAAGGGTCCCTCCCCCCTTTTAGCCCCTTGGGGGAAGGGGGGGGGGGGGTTTGGCTTTGCCAAGAGGGACCGGTGACGGAGAAGGCGCTTTGTGGCCTTTATCAGCAGCTCCCTGAACCTGACCGAAACCCACTTTTAAAAGCTCCAGGGCCGCTTGCCGACTCTCTGCGATGCCTCTCGCCTGCTTGTCTGACTGTGTCTCTGGGAGCTGACCCCTGGGCGTGAGCGGGTCGCCCGCTGGGTAGCCTGCAGCTGAGCGGTGCCAGCCAGAGCGAACCAGTTCAGGGTTTTCCAGAACAAAGGGAAGTCACGTTTTGTCCAGAGATGCGTGTCTGCTCGAGAGAAGCCTCCGGGTCGCTCTCTGAGTGCCACGCGGGCCTTTGGGTGAGGGCTGCCTGCTGGTGTTAATGTTGGCAGTGGGGGTGCCCTCATGACGGCCGCCTCCTTGTTCTTCCAGCTGCCCGAGCCGGCCATCCGGGACCTGATTGTGGCCAGCATCGCCGTCAAGTACACGCAGTCGAACTCGGTGTGTTACGCCAAGGATGGGCAGGTAAGCCCCGGGAGGGCTGCCGGGCCGAGGGCCGCCATGAAGTGTGCCGGAGGAAGCCAACCTGAGTGGGCAAACCAGGCGCCCTGCAGCTGACTCCGCAGGGGCTCCGCCTGGCTGGGAAGTAGTGCCTCCGTTTGCCCCTGTCAGGAGGACCCTTCAGAATCCGCCCCTTGCTTCTCACCTCTCTCTCTCTCTGGAGGCGGATCCTCCCGTGGCATTCCTCCTGGTCGGGCCCATGGGGGTCCCCCTCTCTCACACACGGAGGGCTACGCGGGAGGCCTGCCAAGAGGGACTGGAGGGGGTGGCGGCGGCGGCAGCCCTTGGCCGTGGGGCTCAGAGCTGCCCTGCTTCTGCCGCCAGGGTGTGTGTGTGTGTGTTTTTGTTGGGCTCTCCCAGCCAGCGGCTGTCAAGCAGGGGAAGCTTCTCAGCTGGTCCTGTGAGCTCTGCGTTGTGTGTGGGGGGGAATCTTTCCCAGACATTTCAGGGCTCTTCTGAACTTCTCCGTTGCCTCCCCAGTGCAGCGACAGTTGCCCAAATGCCGGCAGGGCTTTCCAGTCCCTCCTCTTTGCCCTCCTTGCGTGGCCCGTGCCTCCCGCGGAGGGTGTGTGCATGAGAGAGCAGGAGGCCGGCTTCCCTCACGCCCGCCGTTTTGGGAGGGGACCAGAGGAGTCTCTGTGACCGGTCGCAGTGTGGGAGGAGCGGCCTGGTGTGGCTCCCCGAGAGCACCGGTGAAGCGATTTGGGACTGGTGTGGAACAAGGGATTGCAAGAGCCGGAGGCCGGCTTTGGTGTGGTTGGTGCCCGGGGGGGGGGCACATTGTCAGCTGCAGGGCATGGCCCTTGCGCCTCACAAGTCACTCCAGGGTCCCGCGTGGTTAGAATTGGATTGGAGACATGTGTGAGAGACGTGCCCAGGTGGTTCTTCCTCTTGACGCCTTCCGCTTGCTTGATGGGCGCCTGGCTGAGCGGGCTGCTCTCGCTCTTTGGGCTGCCCGCCCGCCCCCCGGGAGCCTGGCGCCCAGCTCTGCCCAGGATGCCGTAGACTTCCAGGGGCGTCAGGCTCCTTGGTGGCCAGGGCCGGAGCTGACATAACTGCCGTAAAATGTAGTGCCAGGTACGGGGAGATATAAACTGTAGGAAGGACACAGGCAAGCCCAATTCACGATGTTATTTTACTCAAAATGCAGACCTGCGTAAAACAGGAACCCTCGACCAGCGTTGCCTCGCAGTCTCTCCCCGCTGCCCTCCCTCCCCATTCCTCTGCCTGGGGCCTTCCGTTGCTCATGGGCCACACGAGAGCCCCGGACTGGCCAGTCCTGGCCCGGGGGCCTGCCTTTGACTCCCCTGCTCTGAAGGAAGGAAGAACAGGTTTCCTGTGCGGAGTGCCTGGGGACCAAAGGCCTCTGCTCCTCTCTCCCCACCCCCGGTGCACACCCACGCCCACGCAGACCCTCTTTCCTGAGCGCCGGGTGCTGTGAGGCAAACTGTCTACCGCTGAGGAGCAAGGGGTTGCCTGGCCTGGTGCTGGTGGGGTGTGGCCCCCTGCAGGGCCCGGGGCTGCTGGGAGTCCTGAAGTCTCCATGCAGAGCTGGAGCTGCTGGTTCCTCCTTGCTTGGTTGTCGTCCCTTCTGGTGCCTCCTTTTGCACCGTCTGCTGTGGGCTGTCTTCCTGTGATTAGACTTGACTGAAAGTGCGGGATGCAGCCCATTGTCTTCTTGTCCAAATGAAACTATTCTTCGTAAGGGGTCACCGAGCATCCTCTCAAGAAGGGGGAAATCTGCGGAAACCTCATTCCTCGAAGAGTCCCTACTAGTCCCTGGGGAGATTCACTGTGTGCCAGTGCAGGTGGGCCCTGGGGCTGCATCTCTGGTGAGGTTTTTGCTCTGCCCGTGTTTCAGGTGATTGGCATTGGGGCGGGGCAGCAGTCCCGCATCCACTGCACCCGCCTGGCTGGAGACAAGGCCAACTGCTGGTGGCTGAGGCACCACCCCCGCGTGCTCGCCATGAAGTTCAAGAGCGGCGTGAAAAGGGCGGAGATCTCCAATGCGATTGACCAGTACGTCACAGGGACCATCGGGGAGGTAAAGCAGAAGGCCCTTTGGCCAAAGATGTTCCTGCTTTTTGTGTTTAAAGGGAACGCAGTGCAAAGCGCGGTCAGGTCTGAGGTGTCTTCCCAGTATATCCCCTCAGAAATGCCGTGGGGGTAGAAAACTGTCATAGCGTCCCCTTCTCCCATAAGCGGCTGATTCTTGTCTCATCTGTGAGAAACCGAGGACTGCTGCTGGACTCTGCTGCCAAGAGAGTGTTTGAAATCCCTGCACCACTTGGGGGGGGGGCAGATTTCCCCTCCGGAGGAGGCCAGAGTTCTCGGGGGGGGGCCCTTCCTTCGCCCAGCCCTCTCCCGCCTTCCGCAGTTCAGGGACGAGGCAGTCAGTTTAGGGGGATTTGTCAGATCCATCACGGGTGCCCAGCTCTCCTGCTTCTGCACACACGGACTCTGGCTCATTCACGAGAGGAGGCGATGTGGACGTTGAAGACTTGGGTCTGCATGACATGTGGAAACTGAGCTGCCCTAAAGGAGCTGTGGAGGATCCTGGTAGAACTTTGCCCAGAGCACTGAAGGGTTAAAAGAAACGTCCAGAGCAGACATGCCAGCCGCCTTGTCCCCCTCCTCCCAGATGTGAGCAGAGAGGGGTGTGTGTGTGTTCAGCTGACTGTACTTACACAGCACAGCGGCTTCCGTTAGACGCACCGCATAGCTCAGTAAGCGGCGTGTCCCATTCCAAACGATGAGCTCCGGAAATCAAAGAGGGCTGTGTCTGCTTTGCCAACCGTGGCAGGGAACCTGGTTGTTTCCTGCGGGCAAACGGGAGCTGGAGGGGTGGCGCTTGAGGAGGTGGGCGGCCAGTCAAGATCCTGTCGGCCACACTTTCCCTCTCGCTCCTTGAACTGGGTCCCTGTGTTTTGGGTGTTCCGCTATTTGCTCCCCGACTGGAGGGGCACACAAGCCAGGCCAAGCAAAGCATGTGAATCAAGCAGAGGGGGAAACTTCAGTAAGAGGCTTCGGGGTTTCTAAGCTATGACCGTCTCCTTTGGCGCAGACTTTAATGTCTTCTGGCTGTAAGTTTTCCAGAGTTAGTCGTGTTGTAACTGTAGAACAGATGTGTGCGTCCAAATAGAAACCGCGCCACTCCTTGCGACGGGGTGCTGGAAGTAACACTCACCAAACACTTCGGTCATGACACTTGTTGTGAAGTGCTGATTCCGATTCAGCGTATTTAGTGGGTCATTAAAAGATTTTTTTTTTCAGGATGAGGATCTGGCCAAGTGGAAGGCCCTGTTTGAGGAAGTCCCGGCGCTCTTAACGGAGGCGGAGAAGGCGGCCTGGGTGGCAAAGCTGCACGGAGTCTCGCTCAGCTCAGATGCCTTCTTTCCTTTCCGGGACAATGTGGACAGGGCTAAACGGGTAAGGGCCCCCCCCGCCCCCTGGGGAGTTGGCAGTGCCCGTCCTGGGGCCGGGAGGGGAGGGCTGGACGGTCCCTCTTGCCCAGGTAGGAGCCTTCCTGCCTTTGCTTTGGCTTGTGCCGGCCACTGCGGCAAGGGTGGGATGGCGGACTGGTGGGGTGCAGGCCAGAGTCCGCATCACGAGACCGGTAGCAGATGCCTGCTGAA